TTGAAATTGTTGTGTGCTGCCACGGTTAGATGTCTACCCGAGTAGCCATCTTGGATCTCCAAGTGACATTCTTTTTAAGGCCTGCTTTTTTGTCTGTTTGTTCCACTCTCTGGTCCCTGGCCTTTCTTGCAACATTTCATTTTTCACTTGCAAGAAAAAAATTCTTGTCTCAAAACATCCTATTTTTCTGCAAACCATTTTGTGGTTTCAGCTAGCTCCATGATTCCTCCTTCTTAACCCCTTACCCTCTCTACCTAATTCTGCTTTAACTCCTTATACTAAGGTCACATAGTTTTGAAATGGCAGTAAGCAGATTTGACTCTAGGTCTGTCTGACTCCAGAGCCTACTCCATTATACCACCTAACAGCACTGTACCACCTCCTGTAATATATTGGATCCATAGGAAAGCCTATGCCCACTCCTTTCTTTGTTATGCTTCATAAATTCATTTGCATCCCCTAGTTTAATGCTTTACTCTCCATTAAAATGCAAATTCCCCTGAGAAGTAAAGCTCTAAGTTGTTGTCAGTCATTTATGCCTCAGTGGGAATGAGTTTCAAATCCTCCCTTAGAAACAAATTTTAATTTTATAAGAGGACACTGGAAAATTGGGGGAGGGACAAAAAGGCAGGAAAGGCCCTCATAATGAAAAATCATTCTCCTATCAGTTTCACAGTCCTACCAAATTTGAGGCATGTATTTTTAAGATACCTAGATGCTATTTCTGCATATGTGTAGTACTTTATATGCAGACCTATTTCTGGGTCTGTTACTCCAGTTATCTGGGGCTGGGACTGGGGCTATGGGTGTGTGTGGTCTGATATAATACCTTAATAATATATATACTGATCCCAACCCATTGCAGTCATCAGAAGGCAGCCAGCCTGGCTGCAGTTGTGAACCTGCAGTTTCTGGCATTAGGCACAAGTCCCAGCTCATTCTCTGGAGAATTAGACCCTGATGTGTATATTAAAAATTCTGAGCAGATGGAGTCAGAAGAGCTTATTAGAAAGACTTAGAGGTGTCTCTTCCTCCCTCTTTGGGTCTATTTGCCAAAATAAATGGCATGTATCAGGGTAGGGCATTGGTCCAACCCCATTGAAATTCTGCTAGCAGCCCAAACAGTGGTTGTGTTTCAGATTGTTTCTGTGAAATGATCAGTGTTAGGAAGAAAGAAATGATGTGTGAGCATCTGGCTGCTGCAGCCTACTGATGGGGAAAGTCCCAGGGGCGGACCTGGGGTTAGGGAGTCAGATTCAAGGACCCCCTAGGACATTTGCCACTGGCAAACAGGGGAAGAGCCACAAACTGGCATGGGCAATGTGGTTAGAGATCCACACTGTTCCTCAGTAGCTATGTGACCTAAACAAGTCATTTCTTTGGCTTCTTTTTTCAAAATGTACAAAATAGAGGCTGAATGGAATGGTCTCTAAGGGTCCTTCCTGTTGAACATTCTGTGACTTCTGAGACACAGGTTGATTTATTTTTCTCTGTAGGGAGGCCCACTCACCTCATTATCTTAGCCACTATGTTTTCACACTGACCTCTGCTGGCCACTCTGAAAAGTGACACTGATTGCTTTTTGGAGGAAAATCCCTCCCAATTCAGTACAGTATTAAACTTCAGCAGTACACTGGGCACTAAAACCGAAACCCTATGAATTAGAGATATGAAAAAAGATAAGCACAAACTCTGCATATCTGGAAATGGTTGACAAAGCAACACAAAAAAGAAATGTATCTTATTTTTTTTTCTTTGCCATCTTCAATTGTTTGTGGTGCTCTGTACCACTGAAAGAAAGTACCTCAGTAGGTGGGAAGACTCCTTGTCTCATATCTTAAAACTGTAGGCTCTTGAAGGGCCTGAAACCACTCTAAGAAAGCAGTTCCGAGCAGTGCCCCAGAGGTCTCAAGACATTCCACAAGCCCTGCTACTGGCCCTCTCATCAGTCTGAGAGGTTTCTAGCTGGGGACAGCCCAGAAGTACACCTTCCTTTGAGGAGTGCCATTTCAAATATCTTTTTGGAAAAGAATTATAATTCAAAGCACCCATGAGTTCTTTAAGAGATTCACTTTTAAGTTCCCTGGCTGGAACTGAGGAGTCAGCTGTGCAACTGTGGCAAATTCAGCATGCATACCCAGCAAAGGGGAAGGAATGGGCCATGGAATCCTGCCTTTTCTGGATGGAATCAGATTTCCTGTTAAGTCCAGCATTGCTTACTCCTGCTGATCATGCACTCACAAAAGGCAAGAGATCAGAGCTGGAGTTTGTCAGCCCCTGTGCCCATGCAAGGCACTGCTCAAGCTGTAGTGATGTGAGCAAGATGGGAATTTGGTGACACCACAATCTTTTCTCTTAGTAGCTGTTCAATAGTTTATCGTGCACTCCACCTCCTCTCTTTGATGCAGGAAAGCTTTGAGCAGGGTCAAACATTCTGTGCCCCGACTGCAACCTCTCTGCTAGTAATAACATGGTTTTGAGAAGCTTGTTCTGCACCCCACCCCAATCCTCCCACCAAATAGTTCCCTCTTCCCCCAACAGCTGTTTCTTATCTGTTTCCCTTGTCCCAGCCTCAGGCAGTCTGCTCTGGCCTCATGCTGACACACACATGTTCTCCTGAATGCTCCTTGATGAGTTTCAGCCCTGAAACACAAAGCCTTCCTCCCATCCTTCCCTGACCCCCATCTTCTAAGGGTTCCCTACTTCCCACCACATCAATTTGTCAACTTTCCTGCCTTGCTTTCCAGGCCCACTCCGGTTCGGGCCCACTCAGCCTTTCCAGTGTGGCCTATTACTCACTCTCAACATACACCCCCACCCAAGTTATGGACAGAATGCAAGCATTACCAACTGCATGTTCAACACTTTCCTTGTGTTCTTATACCATTTATGCTAGGTTCTGGACATGTACTGTTTGTTATGGTTTTGATGAGTACATTAGTCTTGAAAGCTTAGGCCTATATTTTAAACTTCATTAATTCTTAACAGCATCCCTGCACTACTTTAAAAATATTGTTCTTTTTCTTTTTAGTATATATATATATATATATATATATATATATATATACACACACTGAGTGGCCAGATTATTATGATCTCTGAGTGCATAATAATCTGGCCACTCAGTGTATATATTAGAGGCCCAGTGCATGAATTCATGCATGGGTGGGGTCCAGCCAGCCTGGTCAGGGGGAGAGAACAGGGGCAGTTGGCCAGCCTGCTTGCTGATCGAACTCCTGTTCAAGGGGACAATTTGCATATTATCCTTTTATCAAATAGGATATACACTGAATGACCAGATTATTATGTATTCAGAGATCATAATAATCTGGCCACTCAGTATATATTCACAAAAGTAATAACAGAATCATTGTAAATAAAATTTCAACAACAGAGTATGAGTATAAAAAGTTAAAGCTCAACTCCCACCCATCATTCCCAGAGATGAGCTCATTAAAAAGACTGTTGGACCTCAAAGGGCAGATAGGGATAAAAGGGAGAGATCAACCAAAGGACTTATGTGCACATATATGAGCCTAACCAGTGGTCAAGGACAATAGTGGGGTGGGGGGATTGGAATGGAGGGTTGAGGACAAATATATGATACCTTAATCAATAAATAAATTAATTTTTAAAATAAAATAAAAATAAAAAGTCTGAACCCTAGCATCATTTGTAGGCTGTGTGCATGTTGGGTGTTGGGGAATTGCATCTCCTTGGGAAGAGCATCTTTTACTTTTTTACAAGAATCCTAGGTCTTCGTGGACCTAATTGACACTGAAAATTGTACTTTAAAAGCCCTGTACAGCTGGTGTTCATTGCATCTCCAGTACATGATGCTAGCCACCACATAAATGGTCTGTCCTTTTTTCAGGCTTTTAAAAAGTAAAACTTGAAGGTGAATATTAAAGGGCATGTTTAATGGGTTTTTCTCGGAGCTTTTCACAGATATGTAGAAAATTGCAGGCAATCAGTAAAGGCACAGAGAGGTGGTGATGGAAAACATTTATGAAAATAAGCTTTCTAACTGATATGGTGTTGTGTTCTCTGAAAGGTAATGAACATTACTAATGGTTTTCATTTTTCTGCCAAGAAAATTCAGTCCCTGCTGTTGTTTGTTCTAAATGATAGACTAGTTCTCTGTGTGGCACCCACTGGAGTTAATTCTCTGTCTCTGTCAGCTTTAAAATGTCAGCCTGAACTCTCAGACTTCATTGCTACACATACTTTATAACCAGGGCATTCAAAGTCTTCAGGTTGCTTCTTTTTGCTTTCATAATTGGTATTTGATGTATATTCTCAGGCTCCTTGGATATTACACCTTCTACAATATGCAGTTGGCAGGAGTAAAGGGAAGAAAGGAGATAGGGAGGAAGCAAATAAACAGTGTGTGTGTGTGTGTGTGTGTGTGTGTGTGTGTGTGTGTGTGTGTGTTCCCTGTGAGCATCTGTTTCCAGTTGCACTTATGGGGTCCCAAAGTCTGCCAACAAAGATGAGCTCTGACATATTGGTCAGCCCATGGGTTTCTGGGTTCCCCTTCTCTGACCCTGGAAACAGTGTTCTTTAAAGCACAGCTGTTTATGGACTTCACAGAAAGCATGTGGTTGGCCATTTGGATGTGAGTTATAAAATGTCATGATACTCTCCAGCGTTCTGTTCTTTTGCTATTTTGACAATCTGATGGATGACCTGGCATTAACCAGGAAGCAGACATTATTATCCAGCTTGAATAACTAATCTCCTAAGAAGTACAAAGTTGAAGGATATTGGTGCACATGAATCTTATTAAATGTGCTTACAAAATATGTCCTATCCAAATAATTTTAGCAGCCCCTAAAATAGCCTTTTCTGATCTGTGTCTGGAACTTTGGCATACTTCACAGATCTCTAAGCCAAAACTATTTAATGAGGTGATGACAGTGTTTTTTGTGCATGGGAAAATGAGCAGTGTTGATGTTAAGTCCTTTGGTAACTAATTATACTCCTTCTGTCCATCTTAGGGGCAACCAGGACCCATTGGAATTCAGGGTCAAACAGGTCCTCAAGGATTTGCTGGCCCCAGTGGTTTATCAGGGTTCAAAGGAGAAAGGGGCTCTCCAGGCCCTCTGGGAGCATATGGACCAAAAGGAGATAAGGTAAGAGCACCAAAGCTTGATTTTTCTTTGACTTATGGGTCATAAGTATGAAGGTGAAAGGTTCTAAATCTCAGTTCTGTTGTGGAAATAACACTAATCCTGAATACTATGGAGCTGGGCTACATGTTTTAATAAGAGACAGGTTGAGTGGTTTACTACTAATAGATCAGCTCATTTCTGGAGAGACTCTCATAAGAAGCAATCAATAAAGTGCATGTATTAACTACTTGTTAGACAAGTGGGCTCACTGTGGTGTGAAGTCATATTGGTTTGAACTGGGTATGAGTCAAAACTCCAATCATCTTGGCAGTAGAGGTCAGGAATTCAAGGCAAGGCCATTTGGAAGCAAGGGCTCAGAATGCTTAGAAGCAATCTGGACCACAAATATAGGAAAATATATGAAATTATGGACATTGGTCATGTCATGGTGGCTGACTGAGATTAGTGTTTAATTTATGTATCCTGTTGATTTTTGTCACCTTCTCTTCACCCCACTGGTGAGGGAGGGACTCCCACCCTAGGGTTCTGGGGTTGGCCAAAAAATATGACACCTGACATTAAACAGAATGGATGTACAGCAGGTTTATTAGTTGCATACACTGAGTGGCCAGATTATTATGATCTCTGAATGCATTATAATCTGGCCACTCAGTATGTATATATATATATATATATATATATATATATATATATATATATATATATATATAATTAGAGGCCCGATGCATGAATTCATGCTTGGGTGGGGTCCAGCCAGCCTGGCCAAGGAAGGGGACATGGGCAGTTGGCTGGCCTGCCTGCTGGTCAAACTCCTGGTTGAAGGGACAATTTGTATATTAGCCTTTTGTTATATAGGATATACACTGAGTGGCCAGATTATAATGCATTCAGAGATCATAATAATATGGGAAGTACACCACAGGGCCACACAAGGGTTTCCCTTGGGATAAAAATAAACCAGAAGTGGCTATAGGAGGCAGATGTTGTAGTGTCAAGGAGGTGAGATATCCCTTGGTTTCTGAGGAAGAATGTGATTGGCTTGTTTGACTAATTTGATGGGCTAGCAGGGAACTAAACCCACTACTCAGGGATAATCAGGAACTATTAATACATCTGGTCTGTTTGATTAGGATAGTCATTTGCCTAGGAGACCCTATCTATAGGAGCAGAGTGGAGAGGGGGACTTATGGTTAGAACATTTGAGGCCATCTTGGTTTGCCCAGATGTCAGGGCAGCATATACTTTTATTGTATAATTGTATGTATAATGCAATTACATAATAATTGTATTATACAATACAATTGTATAATCCATTGCCTAAGATAAGAACTGATCTCACAATACACATGGGTCTGAGACTTCAGGTAGAGGCAAGTGATCACTTCAAACTGAAGTAGGGAGCAAAGTGGAAGAGGAGGTATAAAATGCTTCTTAACAACTTAGGTCATAAATTACATGAAAAAATAACTAAATCAAATGGAGATCAATTGGATTATCTTTAACTTTCCTCTCCCTACTCCTATTTTTAGGGTCCCATGGGAGTTCCTGGTTTTCTTGGCATTGATGGGATTCTGGTGAGTGTGTCCACAAAGGCATTTTAAAATATCACCTCTAGGTTCTGCTCATAACTTAAGCACCTCTGGCCTTAGCAACATCCCATCTTATGCAAACATGCTCAGGGTCAAGTGTTGAGATGTGTGTTAAGATCTGAAAGGCAGTGGTTACACAGTTTCCCTGGGATTCAATTATAGGCAGCACCAAATGAAACAGTTGAGGGTGCACATGTGAAAATATAAGAAGCCACTAACATCTTAGAAAAATGAGATAGGTATTGTAGGTTGAGGGGAGCTTTAATTGGGAATAAGAGACTGGCTCTGAAGTGCAGAGTCAGTGTCACATTAAAGCATGAACATACTCATTATAAGAAATTTAAGAAAGTACATGAAATTGAGTATAAGAGTATCTTGATACAGTTTGTTCCTATAATTTATTCTATTCAGGCTCCTCTCATTGCAGAGTGAATTTCCCTTTAGTTTTTACAAAATGATCAGCCTCTTTTATCCATCCTGAACAACTGGCTTTGCTGGAGATAAGTGGGGAGTTTGGTGCCTGCAGACATCTTCTCCCATTTCATCCAACCCAATTGCATAGTTTCTTCATTTTTACCTCATATTCCTACTAATCTCACCTCTGGAGATCACATGGAAACATTTTGTCAACCTTTAAAATACAGTGTTTGTACTTGCTGCTATCACTTTTTAGTTATGTCCTTTGGAACTTCTTTATATATTTAAACTTTAGCCTGGGTTGTTTGTCTATAGCAATAGTTTTCAACCTTATTTAAGAGAAGAACCAAATCTTGTGTGGAAGCTCTAGACAAAACAGCTTCTTATGTGACACTACATAATCACCTAGTATTAGGGAAGGAGGTTCAAATCTCTTTGTGCCAGTCTATAGGTATTTCATGAGCACCTGCTATATATTCTAACACTCTACTATGATGATACAGAAAAAAAAAAAAAATATATATATATATATATATATATATATATATATATATACCCATCTACACTAATAAAAGAGAAATATGCAAACTGGCCATCACTTTGTGACACCCACCAGCCAATCAGGAGTGAGTATGCAAATGAACTCAACAAAGATGGCAGCAGCCTTGCCCCCCTCGCCACTCTAGGCCTCTGGGCAGCACACATGCTGATGCAGAACAGCCAGGCAGGGCAGGACGTCTGTTATGAGGGGAAGGGCATGGGGCGCAGGGAGTGACAAGAGTGGCACTCCAGCCACAGCAAAGACTGAAGGCTCCAGCTGGAGCAAAGACAAAAGGTGGCAGCCAGAGCAAAGGCCTTGGTCCTGGTTGCCGAAGGAAAACCGGTGCTGCCAGCCAGGGGAAGGAAAGCCTATTGCATGAATCTAGCAAAGATATAATCATATAATCCATTTCCTCTCCAAATCTAGTATTATACATTTATGAATTTTGAGAACAGAAGGCTCACTTACCTTGTATTTGTTACATGTATCAATAAACTGGCCATCAGATATCTGCATTTTATTTAAGTCCAGACCCTGACAAATGAGGAAATACTGTAAGTGTACGGGGTTGGTCATTCTTTTGTGATGTCTCCTGGCATTGTCTCATGCTTGTGTTCCTATAGCCATTTTATGTATAGTTTCCACTCAGAATGTATATCTTCAAGAAGCCAGTGGAAACTAGCAAACTGGAGGCTGCCTCTTCCATTCATCCTGTAAAGCTGGCTTCACCAGAGATGAATGGGGAGATTTAGAGATCTCAGTGGTACTAACTCCTTCCTCCTGTAGTCTCTTTTTCACGGGGAATGGAAGGAAGTGAATCCTGTGTTGCAGAGGCTGGTTCCAATTCTGAGCTGGATCCTGCCCCAGAGTCCATCTGGACATTTCTGCCTGCAACCCATAACTTGGAGAATACTAGGGCTTGCAGGAATTGATACTTCTCTTTGGGACTTCACTGCTTGGAAGAATGAGTTGCAGGTGTCCAGATTCCTTCAGATAAGCATGCTGCTCCCAGTACAAGCCTCCACTCCCTTAGACCTTCACTGGCCCTTCCCTTGACCAAAGGTTTTATACCCTTAATTTTGACTTTTGTTTGCTTCACTTACTCCATGAAATTGTTCTCCCTTTATACTTCCAGTTATTCATTGTGCATTTATTAAGCACCTCAGGTTTACTGCTTACCACTTCCTTTTATCTGCAATTTTTCAGAAGTCCTTGATATCTGCCCCCACACCCTCTAGCTCCTTATTACATATGGCCAATGGTATTGATTGATTGTCTTGTGTAATAGTATTATTTAGCTCCTGGAAAACACAAATATGTTTTCTGATCCTCTCTGGGGCCTCAGAGACTCCAGGACTGAATTCATCATATACAAGGAACTCTAAAATTATTTGGGAAATGGATTCCAACCTCCAGAACCTAAAAAACAACAGTTCTCAGACTGGCAGGACTCCCTCAGACAGAGGAATAAAACAGACATTGGCCTACTCAGACATTATTTTTCTCAACTTTCAGTGGCATTTATTAAGCAATTTGGCTGTAATCAACAGCTTCCCAAACACATCTTACTAAACTGGATCACTGCATAGACCTGATTTTCATCTTAATAATGGCTGATAGCTAACATATATGCTACTGGTTTCACTCCCAAAACTCCATTTTTGCTGTCATGTAGACAATTTCAACATGAAGGATTAAGTAGTCATTCATGATCACCCAATTCTGTGCACTAAGTGGCACAGCAACTTATTGAGTGAGTGAACAAATAAGCATTCATCAACATATTCAACATTAAAACAACATAGACTAGGGATAGTAGGGCTGTGGCTTTTAATGATATCATAGCTGTGATTTGAGGTTGCTGGCACCTTTAAGAAATGTATGATTTTTGAGTGTTTTTAGTTCAGATAATTTGAGAGAAGTTTTCAAGTCTTCCTTTGAAATTTATGTTTAGCTTTTCCCATGGAGTCAATCTTATACATTTTTCTTTCTAAAGATGCATAAATGGACATACCAGATTTATATCTTCAAAGTGAACACATGATGCTCACCAAATGAAAACTATTCCTTTGAAATATGGGTTCTGAAAAGTATTGCTTTTCTGGATTACAGCAGATCCTCCTAGTCTATGTGCTCAGACACTTCTGGTTATATAAAACAATTGTTTTCTCCCTTAAAAAAAAAAAGCTACTATGTAATAAAGCTACATTCTCTTAAAGAGCTAGCACACACATATGAAAAATCATTAGCAATAACCAGAAAGGTCAATGTGCCAGAAATGTGGTATTGAGAGCTGAGAGGAGACAGAACTCAGCCTAGTGGCTTATCCTTGCTGACTTGCTTGAGAGAGGAAGACTTACTAATTATTTAGCTCCTGTGTAGTAAACAGTCTCATGGAATTTTAAACATAAACTTTAAATTTTATTTAAATGTTAACAACAACCCTATGAGATACAAGTATTGTTCATCTCCATTTTATAGATGAGGAAACTGAGGCTTAAGTTGGGGAATGGAAAAGCTAGGGTGTAGTATAAGTCTGACTGATTCAAATGCTTTATCCACCATCTCATTGTGTCAGCTAAATAAGAAAGGGTTGACAGGTCTGTCAGAAGTCAGAGATTAATACCAGAGAATTTGGTTAAAGTAGAAAAGAGTGAACAGGTATCTCTGGAATTCTGTAGGTAGGAGCTATCAGGAGTTTAGGCAAGAAAACTACAGAAGGATTTGGAATAAGAAAAAAATGTGCAAGAATAAAACAAAGATTTTGGAGTCAAACAGAACTACTGTAAAACCCCTAATACTGAGCCAGCCTGTTGTGTTACCTTAACTCATCCCTATTACTCAATTGAGAGATTGCTTCTAGCAAGCTTAGCTGGGACATTTTAAAGTGGTGGCCAGGATCCTAGAAAGAAATATGTACTACACTTGAAAAAGTTAACACAAGAGTTGAGTAAAAATGTATATTTAAAGGATTTAAAGATCAGGATTAATGTGGAAACAACAATGGATGATGAAGCAACTAACAAAAAGCTGTTATCACCCATGTGACCAAAGGGGAAAGAAGCAATGGTTATACTGGATACCTGTGTAACCTGGAGCCATGAAATAACAGTTTTCCAACAGGAGCTAAGCTTGTATAGAAATGTGGCCATTTCCAAAGATATAGCCAAGGAAGGAAGGCATAAGAGGAATAAATAGCATGTGCTCTTTCTCCTCCTACTCTAGTGTCAAATAAAACTAGGAATAAGGGAAATGGAGCTTACACAGTGCTGTCCATAAAAGTCATCCTCCCAAGACACATATTTGAGGAAGGTAGAATGTAAATCTTCAGAGGGAAAATAAGAATAGCCATCTCATTTGGTAATAAAATGATGACTTAATAAGTTGTCTCATTTTCCCCAGTGCAAGTAAAAATCATCACATGAATCTAGAAAGCATAGATTACAGCAAGTTTACTGAAAGGATTAATTTACTTACTACTCTTCTACACTTAGTATTCTATGAGTCTAGCAGTATAAAATCATACTTTTGTATTAGCAGACTATTTATCTCCTACAACTTATTAACAATAAAAATGAAACAATTCTATGGAACACATTCTTATTAAGAATTTGATAAAAGTTTGTTTCCTCTAATAATTTGAAAAGTTGACTTTTGAATTCATGACATATTTCCTTCAAATCATTGCATATATACTTGGATTTAAAAAGTGTGTGAGAGAGGGTGAGAATATACCTTTTATTGACCTATCTAGATTTCTGGTCTTTCATGTCATCTATTTGCTGCTTACCCAATACCCAACCTGCTTTTGATAGATTAAAAAAGAGATATTCCCTACCAAAAAAAATAAGTATGCTCTATGCACCAAGAAAGACCAACTCTGGAAAATTATTGAAATCATACCAACTGTATATAAATGATTATTAATAGTCCAGCAAATCAGCTGTCTCATTGGTGAGTATGGAGAAGAGGGGAAGATAGCATTCCCTAACTGAAGCAATAGCATGATATAAATATAAAATAGGATTGAAAGTGTAATTTTTTCAGGAACATATTATTTTTTAACAAGCTGCTTTCAGGAGAGGTGCTGCTGAAAAAAATTGCTTCTGCTCAGTTGACCAAAATTCAGCATAACTTTTTATGCAAAACTTTCAATACAGAAAGCCATCATAGGTTTCCCAGGCTGCAATCTGTTCTGAGGAGTCCTAAGGCCTGTCATGATTTCATGTTGGTAGCAGTTCAACTTACAGAGAGCTAAGCCTAACTTAGTATATTTTTGTACCCAGAGGGTGAGGCTGCAATGCCCTGAGTGTCCTATCTCTTCATTCTTGATCCCTTTGCTTTCAGTTTGGATCCTATAAAGCATTACCACTTTTGGAAGGGGTAACACTGAACTGTTATAAGAAACATAAACCTGAGTATAAAGGAAAGCTATGAGAGCATCAGTGATGGGCCTAAGAATGAACAAGGGCCAGAATTTGGAAGCATGCTTGGATCCTCTCACTGTTGAGTTCATCAGAGAGTAGCTGAGAGTCCTGTGCCTGACTCAACCCCTTCTTTTCTCCTTAAACAGGGACACCCTGGACAGCCAGGGCCCAGAGGCCCACCTGGCCTGAATGGCTGTAATGGAACTCAAGGAGCTGTTGGATTTCCAGGATCTGATGGCTATCCTGGGCTGCTTGGACCACCTGTATGCTTCCAGATCTTTGTATATTATTTCAAATGGTTTTTCTTTCCTCAAAGTGTGCCCCCTTTTTCCAAACTGGAGATCTCACTAAGCATCTATGGGGCAATCACTGTAGCCTCTTGTCTAATTTAGAAGTCTGTGCTGGCAGCAACAAAACATTAGAAGTCTAAAGAATAATACCAATTGCAGAAGGATGATACATGCTACACTACTTAGAGTTATTTTATTTTCCTTTTTTTAAATTTTATTTTATTGTTTAAAGTATTAGAAATAGTAGTACGTATATCTCCTTTTCCCCCCATTGACCTTCACCCAGCCTCTCCTACCCTCTGGCACATGCCCTCAACTCCCCCCACCCCCAGTGTACTGTGTCCATTGGTTATGTTTATATACATGCATACAAGTCCTTTGGTTGATCTCTTTCACCCCATAACTCCCCAGCCTTCCCACTTTAATTTGACAGTCTGTTCAATGCTTCACTGCCTCTGTATCTACCTTTTTATTCATCAGGTTATAATGTTCTTTATTTTCCATAAATGAGTGAGATTATGTGGTATTTTTCTTTCATTGTCTGCCTTATTTCATTTAGCATAATGCTCTCCACGTCCATCCATGCTGCTGCGTATGGTAAGAATTCCTTCTTTTTTAAAGCAGCATAGTATTCTATTGTGTAGATGTACCATAGTTTTCTAATCCACTCATCTGCTGATGGGCATTTAGGCTGTTTCAAAATCTTAGCTATTGTAAATTATGCTGCTATAAACATAGGGGTGCATATATCCTTTCTGATTGGTGTTTCTAGTTTCTTGGGATATATTCCTAAAAGTGGGATGACTAGGTCAAATGGGAGTTTCATTTTTAGGTTTTTTAGGAAACTCCATACTGTTCTCCACAGTGGTTGCACCAGTCTGCATTCCCACCAGCAGTCCACGAGGGTTCCTTTTTCTCTGAATCCTCACCAGCACTTGTCATTTGTTGATTTGTTGATGATTGCCATTCTGACAGGTGTCAGGTGGTACTGCATTGTCGTTTTGATTTGCATCTTTCGGATAATTAGTGACTTTGAGCATGTTTTCATATGTCTCTTGGCCTTCCTTCTCTCTTCTTTAAAAAAATTACATATTTAGGTCAGTTGCCCCCCCCCCTTTTTTATTGGATGTTTATCTTCCTTTTGTTAAGTTGTATGACTTCCCTGTAAATGTTGGAGATTAACCCTTTATCAATGATAACATTTGCAAATATGTTCTTATTGTTTTGTTTTGGATTTTGTTGTGGTTATTGTTCAGATAATTACAGTTGTTCCTCTTTTTTCTTCTCATAGCTCCCCTCCACCCTGTTCCCACCCCAACCCAGGCCTGTCTCCCACTCACTGTCCTCAGCCATAGGTGTATGATTTTTTTCCAGTCTTTTCCCCGCCCTGCACACCACTTTCTCCCCAAGGATTATCATTCCACTCCCTTTCTATGCCCCTGATTCTGTTATATTCACCAGTTTATTCTGTTCATCAGATTTTTTATTCACTTGATTTTTAGATTCACTAGTTGATAGATATGTATTTGTTGTTCATAATTTTTATCAATGCCTTTTTCTTCTTCTTCTTCTTCTTAAAGAATACCTTTAAGCATTTCATATAATACTGGTTTGGCGGTGATTAACTCCTTTAGATTTTTCTTATCTGTGAATCACTTTATCTGACCTTCAATTCTGAATGATAGCTTTGCTGGTTAGAGTAATCTTGGTTGTAAGTTCTTGCTATTCATCACTATAAAATAATAAATATCAGAGTGGAGATAAACAACATAGAGACCAAAAACACAATGCAAAAGATCAACAAAACAAAGACCTGGTTCTTTGAAAGAATAAACAAAATTGATGAACCTCTAGCCGAGCTTACCAAGAAGCAAAGAGAGGACATAAATAAACAAAATCAGAAATGAAAGAGGTGAAATAACAACCAATTCCACAGAAATACAAATGATTAGCCGAAATTGGTTTCGCTCAGTGGATAGAGCGCCGGACTTCGGACTGAAAGGTCCCAGGTTCGATTCCAATCAAGGACATGTACCTTGGTTGCGGGCACATGCCCAGTAGGGGGTGTGCAAGAGGCAGCTGATCAATGATTGTCATAGATGTTTCTAAATCTCTATCCTTCTTTCTTCCTCTCTGTAAGAAACCAATAAAATATGTTTTAGGGGGAGAAAAAAAAGAAATACAAATGATTATTAAAAAATACTTTTAACAACTCTATTACAACAAAATGGACAACCTAGAGGAAATGGACATATTCCTAGAAAAATACAAGCTACCAAGAAGAATAAAAAACCTGAATAGCCGGGACCGGTTTGGCTCAATGGATAGAGCGTCGGCTTGGGGACTGAAGGGTCCCGGGTTCGATTCCGGTCAGGGGCATGTACCCTGGTTGCGGGCATATCCCCAGTAGGGGGTGTGCAGGAGGCAGCTGATCGATGACTCTCTCTCACCGATGTTTCTAACTCTGTATCTCTCTCCCTTCCTCTCTGTAAAAAATCAATAAAATATATTTAAAAAAAAAAAACTGAATAAGCTGATAACTACCAAAAAAATTGAAATAGCAATAAAAAATCTTCCAGCAAGCAAAAGACCTAGTCTGGATAGATTTACCGGGGAGTTCTACCAAACATTCAAAGAAGAACTAAAACCTATTCTCCTCAGACTATTCCAAAAAAATTCAAGAGGAAGGCACACTTCCAAGTTCTTTCTAAAAGCCAAAATTACCCTAATCCCAAAATCAAATAAAGACATCACACACAAAAAAAGAGAACTACAGGCCAATATCCTTGATGAATGTAGATGCTAAAATCCTCAACAAAATTCTAGCAAATTGGATTCAGCAATTCATTAGAAAGATCATACACCATGACCAAGTGGGATTTACTCCAGGGATGCAAGGTTGGTACAATATCCACAAATCAATAAATGTGATACATCACATAAACAAACTAAGAGACAAGAATCACATAATCATATCAATTGACACAAAAAAAGAATTTGACAAAATAACACCATTTCATGATAAAAACTCTCAGCAAAGTTGGAATAGAGGGGTCATACCTCAACATAATAAAAGCTCTATATGACAAACCTACAGCCAACATCATACTCAATGGGCAAAAACTAAAACCATTTCCCCTAAGAACAGGAACAAGACAGGGATGCTCACTTTCACCATTCCTGTTTGACAGTTCTAAAAGTACTAGCCATAGCAATCAGACAAGAAAAAGAAATAAAAGGCATCCAAATTGGAAAAGAAGAAGTAAAACTGTCCTTATTTGCATATGGCATGATACTATACATAGAAAACCCCAAAGATTCCACCAAAAAACTACTAGACCTAAATGTAGCAGGATACAAAATTAACACCCAGAAATCTAAGGTCTTTTTATATACCAATACAATAATGAACTCACAGAAAGAGAAATGGAAAAAAAAAATCCCATTTACCATTGCAAAAAAAAAAAAAGAAAAAGAAAAAAGAAATTAAGATACCTAGAAATAAACTTAACCAAGAACATAAAAGACCTGTAGTCAGAAAACTACAAGACATTGAAAAAAGAGATAGATGAAGACATAAACAAACAGAAGAACATACCACGTTCCACGTTCATGGATTGATAGAATCAACATCATTAAAATGTCCATATTACCTAAAGCAATCTATAGATTCAATGGAACACTTATTAAAATACCAATTGAATACTTCAAAGATCTAGCACAAACTCTCCAAAAATTAATCTGGAATAAAAAATAAAAAAGACCCAAATTGCCACAGCTATCCTGAAAAATAAAACCAAAGTTGGAGGGATCACAATACCAGATATGAAGCTATATTACCAAGCCACGTTTCTCAAAACAGCCTAGTACTGGCATAAGGGCAGACATATAGACCAATGGAACAGAATAGAGGACCCAGGAATTGATCTAACACATTAGAGTCAATATTTAACAAAGGAGGCAAGAGCATTCAATGGAGCCAGAACTGCCTCTTTAATAAATGGTACTGGACATTTGGTCGGATACATGCAAAAAGTTAAACTAGATCACCAACTTACACTATACACAAAAACAAACTCAAAATGGCTAAAGGACTTGAATGTAAGACAGGAAACCATAAAAATCCTACAAGACTACATAGGCAGCAAAATTGCAGACATTTGTCATAGCAATATCTTTATAGACACAGATCCTAGGGCAGGAATGGCTAAGGAGAAGACTACATTAAAATAAAAAGCTCCTGAACAGCAAAAGAAACCATCAACAAAACAACAAGAAAGCCCATTGCAAGGGAGAACATATTTGCCAATGATGTCTCTGATAAGGTTTAATCTCCAACATTTACAGGGAAATCATACAACTTAACAAAAGGAACATAGACAATCCAATCAAAAAATGGGCAAAGGACCTAAATAGACACTTTTTGAAAGAGGACATTCAGAAAACCAAGAGACACATGAAAACATGCTCAAAGTCACTAATCATCTGAGAGATGCAAATGAAAACAACAATGAAGTACCATCTCACACCTGTCAGAACAGCTATAATCAACAAATTAACAAATGACAAGTGCTGGAAAGAATGTGGAGAAAAAGGAACCCTCCTTCACTGCTGGTGGGAATGCAGACTGGTGCAGACAGTGTGGAAAACAGTATGGCGTTTCCTCAAAAATTTTAAAATGAAACTGCCATTTGACCCAGTAATCCCACTTCTAGGAATATATACCAAGAAAACAGAAACACAAATCAGAAAGCATATATGCACCCCTATGTTCATAGCAGCCCAATTTATAATAGCTAAGATTTTGAAACAGCCTAAATGCCCATCAGCAGACTAGTGGATTAAAAAACGGTGGTACATCTACACAATTAAATACTATGCTGCTATAAAAAAGAAGGAATGCTTACCATTTGCAGCAGCATGAATGGAACTGGAGAGCATTATGCTAAGTGAAATAAGCCCAGCAGTGAAAAAAAAAATACCACATGATCTCACTCATTTATGGATAATAAAGAACATTATAATCTGATGAATAAAAAGATAAATACAGAGACAGAGAAGCATTGCACAGACTGTCAAATTACAGTGGGAAGGCTGGGGAGTTTTGGGGAGGGGATTAGGAGACTAACCCAAGGACTTGTATGTATGCATATAAACATAACCAATGGACACAGTACACTGTACACTGGGGGGGGGGGGGAGTTGAGAGCATGTGCCAAGGGGTAGGAGAGGCTGGGGGAAGATCAATGGAAAGAGATATATGTACTACTACTTGTAATACTTTAAACAATAAAATACAATTTAAATAATTAAATTGAATTTAAAAACATCTATGGTACATTTACACAATGGAATACTACTCAGTTGTGAAGAGAAAGGAAATGTTACCCTTCGTGATAGCATGGAGAACATTATGCTAAGCGAAATAAGTCAGTCAGAGAAAGATAAGTACCATGCATTTTCACTTATATGTGGAATTTAATGACCACACTGAAGTACTGAGCAAAATAGGGACAGGTTTATAGATAGAGAGAAGGCAAACAGCTCTGATGGGGGAGAGTGTTTCGGGAGGGGAAGGGATTGAGGAAAAAAAAAAGAGGAAGAACTCATGGACAGGAACAACAGTGTGGTGATTATGTAGGGAAAGATGGGAGTAGGTGGAAGAGGTTATAGGAGGAATAAATGGAGATGGGAAAAATAAAATTAATAAAATTAAATATAAAATAAAATATGAAAGTGAGACATACATACAAAGTACAAGCCCCAGCTTCTTATAAATAACCTAGACATCTAAGGATCAAACCAATATGCAGCAACTGGTGAGAGGGTTGTATTACCAACATAGTATGAGTTGTTTATGTCACACAAAGTTCTTCAAACACAACCATGGAAACAGGAGAGGAGAGCAAATCACATATGTGTGACGAAAGTGAATATCTAGGAAATAAAGGAAGTGCTATCCACAACAGTAGGAAAAGAAATCCTGAGGTAATGAACATCTGAGAGTCAAAGGAAAAAAGTAAAACCTAATCCTGTCCCTAAACCTCCCTTTAAGTCTAAATAGGAACTTAGACATGTATTTTACTAAAAAGAACCTTATTAACCCTGCTGAATCCTGAGTGGGTATTATTTGACATTTCTTTGATGAAAGTAGTGGCCATAAATATTAAGAGAAACAGGAAGTTTTAGGAAAGAAACTGGTTTGTCCTTTTGGGACCACATTGGTCTTTTAATATATCTGTAATTTTGAGCTCAAAAATCATTATTCAATCAATGATTCCATACCCAAAGTTAACCCCAGTACTAATCCTGACTTCCCATTAGGTATGAAGATATTGACTTTCCCCAACAGGACATCTAGCAGACATTAGCTGGCATCTGTCAATGAGACAGTAAATTTCTGGTTGATAGATGGGTTGGGCATACTTCGAACTGTTTTCTGTGTTAGTGAGACATACTTGCCTCTTAGGTGTTGAAGTTGAAGTTGTGTGGTAGCAGCGCAAGATGGAAATAGTTTTGTAGATATCTCTTAGACCAGGGGTCAGAAAACTAGCTAATGTGACCCTTGACCTGTGGTTTCTTTTTACATTTTTAAAAGATTATAAAGATAAAGATAAACTATATGGGATAAAGCCCAGATATGGCCTGCAAAGCCTAAATTATTTACTATCTGGTTCTGTACAGAAAAAGTTGACTGCTCTGAATAGATTCAAAGTCTCCTCCTTTCTAATCCCTTTAGAGATTTTGGAATTAGGAGAGTGGGCATATGATTTTGAGACACAGCAGCTGTTCAGGGGATGTACTTTGGCCCTTATAATAGCCAATTCTGCCATACAATAATTTATATAATTTCAGCCTCTTGCTGTTTCATCCTCTATCCTTATCAGAGAATGAAACACATCTTATTAACAAAATTCTGTATGTGTATGTTTTTAAAAGTTTTTTTTCTGATTTTACTCAGGGGTTTCCTGGTAAGAAAGGATCTAAAGGTGAACCTGTCCATACCCAAGGTAGTTTCAAAGGAATAAAGGTAAGAACCTCTAAGGCAGACTGCTGAGTAGGCTACAAGCTGAGCTCCCCCAGATTGGGCCCCAGCTCCAATAAAAACATTTCCAGAACTAGCATCTGTGTCTCTATTTAAGGAGCAGATCAAGCTGAGCATTTTGTGGTAGAAACACTGAGAGACATGTTTGTAATCATACTGTCAAAGATATTTGCTATATAGGATCTAGACCAAAAATAAGAGACACATCAGCAAACAGTTTGCATGCATATCATTTTCTTTGACAAGTCAAGACATTTTCTGGAGATAGATACCTTTTGTCTGCTCTAGAATCCTTGATGTCTGCATACCTTGGTTTGAAGCCATGTATGTCTCTGCCCATCTCAGCATGGCCACCAGCCCAGGATCCTGGCCCTGCCCATCACCCTTATCTGGGCCCCTGGCTGTCTGCAAAAATTGCCCATCAACTCTACAGCTGGTTATAAACTTTCACCTCTTCATTGATAAAAACCTTCTGTATTCTTGTGACTGAATTCTTGGTTTGTACTGCCTGGTATCCTATGGGCCCTCAATAAACTCTGTTGCCAAATGATTGACCCTTTTTCGCTTAAGGAGTGGGAAGGGAGCCCATCATTTCCTTGCTAGCAAGTCAGAACCTATGTGTCCAACATGAGAGGAAGATGCATCCAAGCACATTCAGCTGAGGATGGCACAGAACCTGGAACATTGGAAGTCACTTTGGAATGGAGTGATCGGGGTGGGTGGATGAGAACTGACAAAGGCACAGTATTTGAGCTCTTGGCTGTAGGTGCCACAGCAGAAGATAAAATGTAAGAGTTGGGAAAAACCTCATGATTGTTAGATTCATGTTGCTCATTTTACAGATAGAAAAACTGAGGTATACTGAGGCTATGTGACTTGCTCAGATTCACACAGCCAGTTAGTGTTCTTTCCATGCTGCAGAGAGCTTACTTTTTACCATAAGCCAAGTGCAGTAAGACTAGCAGGTATCAAAATATGGCCATTGTCACAGCAAACTTTGATTAGTTTGGCCAAAAATATAAAAGACCTTGGTGTCCCGACCAGCGGGATATCAACTATCAACGTGGGGGCGAGGAGGCACCTAGAAGGGAATGATAGAGGACAGGAGACGCGAAGAAATGGAGGCAAGACAAAGTTCTGATCAAGCCTCCAAATTTATTGTTGAAGCTGCAATATATATACAGGCTGTAGGGTGAGGTTGCTGCGGGGACATTCCAAGGCGGGGCAAACTGTGGGAGGGAGGATCAGGGAGGGGGCATTGTAGGGATCTTCCGGAGCAGGATATGTCCTTAAGCAATAGGTTATCTTTAGCTTCTGGCCAAACCCGCAGGGCTCTGCATAACTTCTGCTAGAAGGAACTTAATTCTAAGATGGAGTTGTATTTTCTTAAGACGGAGTTGCTTGTCTCAACTCTGATGGCTCCCAACACCTTGGGCCCAGTAGAACATAGCAATTTTCAAAGATGGTTATATTATAGATTTATACAGTGACTTAAGATGGTGCAAAGTAATTAAAATGTAATCAGAAACTGTATACTCTGTGGATTCTCCCTTGTAATGTCTGATTTACACTATATATATATATATATATATATATATATATATATATATATATATGTATATGAATAGATTCTCTCGGGATAAGGGCACTTGGGAAGGTGGTTTGCTTTCCTCCAAAAGAAAATGGAAATCACCAGCCCACAGAAGCAGTTTCTAATTGATAAGTTCCTAGAAAATGTCAAAATTAATTTAAGTAAAATATGAAATCCTGTTCAACCAAAGCTATAATATTTGCCTTTTAGAGTCCAGATTTTCTCAGGAAAAAAAGTAAATTGTTGAATATGTCCAATTCATACATTATTTTAAACACAAGCCCTTGCCAAAGCCGGTTTGGCTCAGTGGATAGAACATCGGCCTGCGGACTGAAGGGTCCCAGGTTCGATTCCGGTTAAGGCCATGTTCCTTGGTTGCGGGCACATTCCCAGTAGGGGGTGTACAAGAGGCAGCTGATGGATGATTCTCTCTTATCGATGGTTCTAATTCTCTGTCCCTCTCTCTTCCTCTCTGTGAAAAATCAATAAAATATATTAATTTAAAAAAATAAAAAACAGGACATTGACAGAAGAGGATTAAGTTTCAGCAAAGCTTTTATGCCCATGCATTTTAGGTTAATTATCTATGAAATACCACAGACTTGGTCTATTAATCTCTTCACTGTTTTCCTGTTTCTCAGGGGGATCCTGGGCTGCCTGGACTAGATGGAATCACTGTAAGTTGTTACTTATATGTTGAGCTCTCAATGTTTAGTCAACAGTTACTGATTGTCCCTTTTCACTCTTCCCTTCAGTGTTTGTAGGCCTTCTCAAGAAAAAAATGTAGAAAATGGGTCACATTATTGTTTTTTTTCCAGATGAGAAAGTAGTGATAGGATGGACTGTCCACGTCAAAGTTACACAGCAGGCAGACTTTTAGACCTTTAGACCAGGAAAATGTATATTCCCTTGTACAGAATTTTGCATTTCATTCAGTAAGCATTTAGTTTCTTGTGTGTTGAGAGTGTTGTCGGTAAAACAAAAGTACAACACTATCTTTAAAAAGTATTCTGTATAAAACAAATTTTAAGGGACTCTAAATAATAGTGAGTCCATGAAAATCTGTGAATTGTATTAATAAGAGCTTTCTGTTTTCCTTGAGTTTCTACATTATCATTTTCCTTTGAAGTGGCTTAAGAAAAGCCCCTCCTTTCTTTGTTATTGCCTATTTCAGGGTTCCTTCATTTCTGCTTTATTCCAGAACAGATACTAAGCACGTACTCTCAAAAAAAATTCTATGAGCTGAAACTGGTTTGGCTCAGTGGATAGAGCATCGGCCTGCAGACTGAAAGGTCCCAGGTTCGATTCCAGTCAAGGGCATGTATTATACCTTGGTTGCGGGCACATCCCCAGTAGGGAGTGTGCAAGAGGAAGCTGATCGATGATTCTCTCTCATCAATGTCTCTAATTCTCTGTCCCTCTATCTTCCTCTCTGTAAAGAAATCAGTAAAAATATATTTTTTTAAATTCTACGAGTGATCCCTGAGATAATGCAGATATGGTCTCTGCCCCCTCCCTGACCCAGAATGTGAAACATTATTAGGAATGTGGCATAAGAATTCCACAAAAGCTTTGAGAAGATGCTGTCCACCTAAATATACATCATGAAAGACTTCATATTTAAGACTACCTGTACCTGGCCACGTATTACTATGGCTCAGTCTGGTTAAATGGAAAAGAAAGAAAAGAGAAAGTGCAGGTTTTTAATATGTTTAATTTCACAATGCTTGTGGGTATACAATATTTTTTGTTGTTCTGTTTCCGGTGTAGATATAGAGAGTGTCTGGTTTGCTGACTCTAGAACATGCAACATATAATTGTCCATGTGAAAAGCAATCCGTGTCTAGATCTAAACCACACAATTCTAAAAATTGGCCCTGAGCTTTGTTGATGGTGATTGCAAACGCCAATCGAATTGGGAATTGCAATCTCTTAAATTGAAATGGCATATCCATTGGAATCATAGGAGTGCGAGGAAAGAGGCCATCTTCATCTTTGAAAGTTCCTGTCAAGATTGTTGCTTAATTGCAGGGACCGGTTTGGCTCAATGGATAGAGCGTCAGCTTGGGGACTGAAGGGTCCTGGGTTCGATTCCAGTCAAGGGCATGTACCTTGGTTGCGGGCATATCCCCAGTAGGGGGTGTGCAAGAGGCAACTGATCGATGACTCTCTCTCATCGATGTTTTTAACTCTCTATCTCTCTCCCTTCATCTCTGTATAAAATCAATAAAAAATATATTTTTTAAAAAAAGATTGTTGCTTAATTAGTTTTTTTACTGCAAGCCCCATGCCATTGCAAAACTTTGCCTGGTTGATATTTTGCAACATGATAATTGGCACGCCAATTTTCAATTGCAGTATGTGCAATGTCACATCCCTGGCAGGTCGAGTGAATTCAAAAATTCTGTTGGATAAGTAACTGCTTCATCTGCTTCCACAACAATGTTGACGGACTTGTATGTGACTGCCTTGCTTTGAATGTTACCGAATAATACTGTGAAGTTCGTAGACGTCTTTGTTCTTGGCTGCAAGAATAGCTTGTTAACTCAGCCAATAGTGATTCTTATAATTGGTTTGAATATTGGGAAATACTTTTTCAACCAATTCTTCTTTTGATGTGACTAAATTGCAGAAGTTATGATGCAATGAAATTCATCCTGAGGTCAGATCAAATGGCACCTTTCTGGTTCCCAATTTCCAGCAATTGATGTGAGAATATCTCAGCTGATCGGTCGTTTTGCAGCTGGACACACATATTTGTAGTTAATTTTAACATCTTTATGTGTTGCCACAAAGTAGAGTATTTCAGGCAAGCATTTATTTTGTCCTATGGTGTTGATCGAGGAATTATAGGTAATGTTTGCCTGAAATCTCCTGTAAGCAATATAAATGCGTTCCCTAATGGTTTGATGTTTCCACGCAAATCTTGCAATGATTGATCAAGAGCCTTGAGTGATTTTTTGTGCGCCATTGTGCATTCATCCCAAACAATAACTTTGCATTTCTGCAATACTTTTGCCATACCTGATGCTTTGGAAATGTTGCACTTGGGAGTTTCAATGAATTGCATGTTCAATGGCAATTTCAAAGCGGAATGAGCAGTTCTTCCACCTGGTAGCAATATCGCAGCTATTCTGGACAACACAAGAGCTAAGGCTATGTCATTTTGGGATCAAATTGCTGCCAAAATCAATCTAATTAGGAGCATTTTACCAGTTCCTCCTGGCGCATCTAAGAAGATTTCTCCAACCCCATTATTGACAGTTTGCATTATTTGATCGTAAATGCCTTTTTGCTCAAGCGTTAGCTTAGGAATATTTGATTGCACATACGACAAAAAATCACCGATGTAATTTTGTTCATGACGCAATTCTACATTGAATGAAGCAGCAACAGATAGATTCGGTGATGGCATTCCCAATTGATTGAGAACTTTGTTCGCGATTTCTAAGCACAAATCTTCATCATTATCAACATTGAAATGGAATCATAAAATTGGAAATTGGAAATGGATTGTAAATCAGAATCATTGAAATGGAATCGTAAAATATTTAGTATAGCACGTAATGTTTTTATGTCCAACAGATGGTGATGTTTTTTTTTAAAAAAAGCATGTTTTTTACCTGTCACAGATGTGACATCTATGTAATAGTAGGTATAAGGTATATAAAAACAAGCGACTATTCAAATTCAACATTGTTGTGTCGAAATTTCAAAGCAATCATTGAATAACTTTCAGAGATTTAAGATTTTGAACAAAAGAACATTTACATTTTTATTTATATAGATAGAGAAGGTAGCCTCTGAAAAGTATAGATGATGTTTAGGCTGCCTGGCAATGGGAGGAAGCTTTCTAAACAGAGAGCAGTGTGAGAAAAGATAGGCAATAAATGAGATGTATACAAGTACACATGCAAACATAGATGAATGAGTAAGGACCAAGGACACCCAGTCCCCTACAGCTAAACAGTTGCTTTAGGTCAGTGGTCGGCAAACTCATTAGTTAACAGAGGCAAATATCAACAGTACAACAGTTGAAATTTCTTTTGCGAACCAAATTTTTTAAACTTAAACTTCTTCAAAATAGACTCGCCCAGGCCGTGTTATTTTGTGGGAGAGCCACACTCAAGGGGCCAAAGAGCAGCATGTGGCTCTTGAGCTGCAGTTTGCCGACCACAAGTTTAGGTTGTGTGTTAACTAAATTTATAGAATAACTATATTTGCTGCATAGCTTCTCTTAGAAATCATTCCCCTACCTGCAAAGGTACAATGTTTATGTACATACATAGGCATAATAAATAAACCATGTAGATTTGAGGAGGGGAGTTTGGTGGCTGTGTATGAAATTTGTGATCAGTAAGGAGATCACAGGTCATTATTGTCAAAGCAATTTTCTACTATCATACATCCCTGGGGAAACTTCAAATGCCTAGTTTCTCTTCCACCTATCTAAGTCTTGATTTCACTTGGCCTCTCCATCACTTGATTTCACTAAGCACATATCACTTATTACTGCTCCTAATTTTAATTAAGCTTTACATTTCCCCATACTATCTTTCTCTTCAGATTTCATTGTCTTGTTTTTAATTTCTTCACTATTTTCATTCAGGTCAAAATATCTTCTAGTTTCCCTTATGATTTTTTCTTTCAATGATGTGTTAACTTCCAAACATTTGGCAACTTTCTAGATATCTTCCTGTTATGATTTCTACCCTGTTTCCCCGAAAATAAGGTAGTGTCTTATATTAATTTTTTTTCTCCCAAAGTTGCACTAGGTCTTATTTTCAGGGGATGTCTTATCTTTCCATGCGCTAGGTCTTATTTTCAGAGGATGTCTTATTTTCGGGAAAACACGGTAGCTTATTTCATTGCAGTTAGAGTACACACTCTGTATGACTTCAATCTTTTTTAAATTTGTTGGGGTTTGTTTTATGGCCTGGAATATGGAACTATCTTGCTGAATGTGCCATATGCACTAGTATAGACTATGTATTCAGCTAGTTTGGGATATAGTGATCTAAAAAAAAAATAGATCAAGGTAATAATGTATTTGTTTCTTTTTTTAAATTAAGGTATTATATATGTACATATCTTACCAATTCCCCAACCACCACTCCCATTCATGCCCTCTGTCCCCAGAGTTTTGCATCCAATGGTTATGATTATATGCATGCATAAAAGTCCTTCAGTTGATCTCTTATCTCCCCCATATCTCCCTACCCACCCCGCGGTAATTTGACAGTCTATTTGTTGCTTTACTGTCTCTATATCTATCTTCTTGTTCATCAGTTTATAATGTTCTTTATTATCCACAAATGAGATCATGTGGGGGGGGGGTTTCTTCTTTCATTGACTGGCTTATTTCACTTAGCATAATGCTCTCCAGTTCCCTCCGGGTTGCTGCAAATGGTGAGAATTCCTTCTTTTTATGGCAGCATATTCCATTGTGTAGATGTACCATAGTTTTCTGATCCAGTCATCTGTTGAGGGACACCTAGGCTGTTTTCAAATCCTAGCTATTGTAAATTGGTCTCCTATGAACATATAAGTGCATATATCCTTTCTGATTGGTGTTTCTAGTTTCTTAGAATATACCATATTTTCCGGCATATAAGATGACTTTTTAAACGAAAAAAAAAAGTCAACCAAAAATCGGGGGTTGTCTTATACGCCGAGT